TTGCTTTCTACAACAAGCCTAAACCTAAGAAAATATGTAACTGGGTATAAAGTTTCTGATTTGATAATGTCCTGGTTCAAGATGATTATATTGGTGTTTTTTTTTGTTTTTGTTTTTCTTACATTGTTTAATCCTTTTTAGATATTTAAGTATGTAAAACATTCGGTGTTGGTTTCAATGGGAGTGGTGTATAAGGCTTGTAAAATAAATAAAAGATACAATAAATGTGAAACCGCACTGAGAAAACGCAGAACTCAATCCACACAATACAGATTTCTATTATGAAATCAAAACATGTTTTTTGAAGACCTTTAAAGGTAGATCAGGATAATGACCCCATTTTCCTTTTCTCTAGCCTATGAATTAATCATGTTTATATGAAAAGGCTTAAACCAAACCATTAAAATACTTTCAGTTTTTAAATACAGCGTTTTGTCTTTCTCAATTTCTTTCACGTGTTGATGAGAAATAATGTAAGAAACCAATTTGGTGCCTAGTTCTTTTTGCTCAAAGCTGTAAGTTACTACTTAAAATCACTTCATGAGTTTATTCCTTTTAATACAGAGGGGGTAGTTTGGACATCAGTCTTCTCGTCCTCTCTTATAGTTTCTTTTTCCTGTCTCTTTTCAGCTATTCTGGTCATTTATGGCAGCTGTTTTTATTACAGGAGCTTCTTTCCACTTAGCAACTTCCAGCAGGCTATGAAGTCAGTATTTATTACTATAGTAAATTCCCAGGGAATTTGGATAGCTCTGTTCATATGATTCTCTGACTTGAACCCTTACCTCTACTGTGGCCTTCATTGGTGAACAGCTCCTTTCCTAGAGGAGTGTTTTTTTCTCAGCCGGAGAACAAAAGAGCATCTCCTATAGTCCCTGGGTCAAAAAGTAATTTCACTTCCTCCCCATTAATTGTCACATATTATACTAGACATGGGGTAGGCAACCTTGGCTCTTTTATGACTCGTGGACTTCAACTCCCAGAATTCCTGAGCCAGCCATGCTGGCTCAGAAATTCTGGGAGTTGAAGTCCACGAGTCATAAAAGAGCCAAGGTTGCCTACTCCTGTACTAGACTCTCTTTCACACTGATCTTTTCAGGAGAACCACTGAAAAGTGACTATGGGAGTTGCAGATTTCACCAGGTGGTTTTCTTTTCCATATTGCATCAGGAGCTGCCACAAAGAAGAGGGAGTCAAGCTATTCTCCAAAGCACCTGAAGGCAGGACAAGAAGCAACGGATGGAAACTAACCAAGGAGAGAAGCAACCTAGAACTAAGGAGAAACTTCCTGACAGTTAGAACAATTAACCAGTGGAACAACCTGCCTCCAGAAGCGGTGAATGCTCCAACACTGGAAGTTTTTAAGAAGAGACTGGACAGCCATTTGTCCAAAATGGTATAGGGTTTCCTGCCTGAACAGAGGGTTGGACTAGATGACCTCCAAGGTCCCTTCCAACTTTATTATTATTATTATTATTATTATTATTATTATTATTATTATTATTATTATTATTATTATTATTATTATAGACTTTGCTGTCTGTGGTAGGGATCTTCTTTTTCTGAGCTAGAATACCCCTTTTGGTTTCACTAGAATTTTCTGCCCCCTCCATTTGTACCTGCTTAGCTTTCCCAGCAGTAAATCATCCTCAGCTACTGTAAGGAAACTACTGGAAACTACTTCTGTATCTGTTTTGGGGTGATGTTTTTGCATTCAAAACTCTACTGTGTAAACTATTCTTCTACAGCCTTCTCCTGGGTGCCTTTACCTGGCTTCAGCCATTTTTTCCACAGGTCTGAGAGTTAAACCCATTCAATCCTCTTCCTGAGAGTTGTAGATATAATCTTGAAACAACTGTTGATTTAATATTTTATTATTTCATAAACTCTTTTTTTCTCCACCGCTTACAATTATGGATAACAAATGCAAAGGGACTGATGCATATTATCATCCTTCAAACAGGGAGTTACTCTGGCTATGCTCATATATTTTAGCCAGTTAACAGGAAGAAATCACCCTTTTGATTATTATAAATAATGCCTCTAAATTTGTGGACTTCTGGGAAGAAATGGCAGACTGAAGACAGTTCTACAAAGAGAAGAGCCAATGATTGCAGAATAAAGAGCAGACAAGTAGGCTGGCTCTCTGATAACCCTTCTCAGGACAAGGAGAGAACTTGAGATTGCCCACAAATGTTCCATCCACCTGCTTGTGAGGAAATTGCAAAATAATGGTCTCTAATGGGTTATCTTAGAACTTTTTTTTTTAATAAACAGAGAAATAATTAAAACTTTTGATTTTAGAAAGTTATAAATTGATGAAAAGTCAAAATATGCTACATGAATGACAAGGAAAAAGGTGTTATATAGGACATAAAAAAGAAAACTGGCTGATGTTTTAATAATTAAAAGGCACAATTTAAATAACAAATTAAAAGAGAAGCCTGGATAATTTTCCTATATTGCATTTACAAATGCAGCTTGCTAAAGTTTAAAAAATGGAAAGAAATCAAGTTCTACAATATTATTTGAAGTGACTAAATTTAAGATTGTTAACAGAAAAAAGAAGGAACACAAAGTTGGTTTATTTGATCAAGTTTAAAATAGATATAATATTTCTGGTAACTCTTAATGGACTTTTGTTGACATCACCGATGATGAAATGATGCTTTAGGGATTTGTTTATTCATAAGAGATATGGCAAGAAGACATCATTTGTTCTATTTTAAGAAAAGGTGATGAGTTACTAAAATTTAAACTTGTTTATATTTGTATAAAGTGTATGAAAGATACTGCATCCTTATTTTTTTTTCTTTCTGTTCTATTTCTCCACTTTCCTCTTTTTCTTTTGTTCTGCACCTTTTATTCTTCCTTCTTGTATTAGTTTGTGGTAATTATATTTAATAAGAATATTGTAAATAATGCCTGTACATATTTTTCACTATTTTAGGCATCTTTATTCTGTATTTTTCCCAAGTAAAGTGATGAAATGCTACTTCTTCTGGTAGACCGAGTTCCTTTTTTTCCTGCACACATTCCTATTCTTAATACTAACACCATTTGCAAGAACTCTGTTGAGTTGGCACAAACCACAGAGACGAAGTTTATTGCATTTGCTCTGTTTTATTGTATCAGGAGGAGTCTTGGATTTAGCAAGGAAACTTGTTTCTTCTATTGTATTGTCTAGTTCTATCTTTATTCACATCTATCACTATAAGCCTAAGCCTAACTCTACATTTTTATTTACTTTAACTTCACAAGTTTGTATTCTGAACTTCCGTTACTGCCTTTGAGTGCAAGCTCTATACTTTTGGACTGAAATCTGGGGGAAATTATTTGCAATGGCTTGCAAAGTTGGGACTCCTCTGAGTACCAAATTCACTCTACTTGGTTTTTTTTTTTCTCCATTGGAGCAACGGGTAAAAGGTGGAAGGCTTCTCCCCAGTCATTTTGCTTTGGGAGTAAGTTTTTAGAAAGCACACTTACTTGGAAGTAAATTCCTCTTTTGCAGTGACTTTTTAAACTCCTGGTAGAAAAGCGTTCAGCTGGATTGACTTTTACAGTCTGCTTGAGAGATTCAAATGTTACAGTTCATTCTCATTTTGGTCTATTTAGTGCCAGCTTCTGCATGCTCAAATACCTTCTGGAGAGCAGGCTAGACAAACCAGCCTATTGTCTATTTTGGGCTGTTGGCTAAAACTTCCCTTGTTTGATCATTACATTGCCATCGCTCACCACCCACCCTCTTATTTCTCTCACCACACACCCTATTCAACTACTGGATTTGACCCCATACCAGTCATTCCACTGTTCCAATTCTACCTCCTCATTCAACTTCTTCCTTTCACCACCCATCACTTCACTTTCTCCCATTCCCACACTTTTTCTGTCCCTCTCCCACAGCTTTATATTGGGTGTGGCTACAAAAAGTGAATTGTGGGGGTCAAGGCCCTCTCACTTCTCCTACCGAATAGTGAATAGAATAACATTGTCACTTTAAATGTACACTAATCAGCATACCTTAACATGAAATGTCATTGCATACAGCTCTCAAAGGGTCACCACCTCCAATATACACAACATAAATATGACAAAAAAACTGCATATATCCACATATATTCTATGAGACAGAGAAACAACACAGTCTACACATCAGCTGGGTTAAATGAACAGCTTCTCAGGAAAAGGAAGTAGGAAGCACAGCTGTGGAGATGTATATCCTTTCATATGTTTCAAAATGATCCTTTGTAAAACTTAAATCCTGTGTTTGCATTTCCTGGAAATTAAGCCATAGTAAGACCAAAGGTTTGAGATTTACTTAAAGGGCATACAGGACAGCAGCCCATTCCTGCAGAATTTCCCTACAGATTATCGCATAAAGGGAAAGTAAAGTGAATATATGGGTGCATATAATTGTGCCATATGTTTAATTCATGGCTTCCTATTCCCCATATAAGTAATAAAGGAAAACAGACTATAAAATGTTGAAATAATCCAAAGTCCTTGTTAGCATGATAGAGTTTGTAACCCTCCTTGCACTCTAGGAGTCCAGGAACCAGGTCAAAACTCTAGGACTTCATAGTTAAGAGACTAGCAAGTTCCATCTACTCACGGGCTACATTATGAGTTTCAACATTAACAAACTTAGGCAGTTGCTTTAAAGACATAACTGGAAGAAAAGACTGGCAGCGTACACACCAGCTGCCACGGTTACCTACGTTGAATCTCCTAGATAAAATCCAGGCATTAGCCTACCTACAAGATTATCCAAACCACCACAACGGAAAGGACTCTTTAGACCTCTCACGTCAGATAGCAGCAGCAGCAGCTCCCAGGAAAGGTCCAGCTGCGCTGTTTTACAGATGCCGGCTCAAAAAGAATGCCCATTGAGCGCAATGAGGTTTTCCTGCAGTTAAAAACTTTTGAGGGAGAACGAAAGATAAACTAAGGCTCCCCCTGGAGAGGGGGGGGGAAGAGAAGAAATGGGGCAAGGTACCTACTTTTTGAATCCCTGAACTCAGGTCCATGTTTCCGCTTCCCTTCCTTCCTCCAGCCGAATCCGACCGCCGCCAGCAAAAGCACCTCGCTGCAGCGATTAACTGGGAGAAACGCGAAGCGACTTCTCTGTTGCGGGTGTCAGGAGGACTCAGGACTCAGCAAGTACCACGAATCCCACTTTCTGATCCCGGAGCGCTAATCTCCTCGCCGCCTGAGCGAAGTCCCTTTATAATTGGAGCCCACAACTCCTTCTTGCAGCGCCGCAGCCAATCGGGCGAGCGGCTCTAACTTTTTCAGCCAATGAGAAGCGAATCATTCGCCTCAGGTCCTTAGGCTTGCCTGAACCCTCTGAGCAAAGGGCGGGGTGGTGCTGCGTTCCAGCTGGGGAAGGCGTCTGTCACATCTGTTTCACGTGGTGTCTGAACACGGAGGCCGAAAGTCCCGCATCCCTATTTCGCCTTTCCCAGGGAGTTGTGCTGAAGCAGCCACGTTCATTCATTCAGAGCAAAGGGATGGGGGCGGAGGGGAGCTGGCGATATTATTAGCTCTTTAAATCCCAAAATAAATTCCTATCTCGACGGAACTGATGAAGTCATTGCATTAATCAAACGTTTTTATCTAATCCAAAAATATTTTCAAGCCATGGTAACATATTTTTTTTATAAACAAAATGCAAAAGGAAAAGAAAACACTAGAAGTGGGAACTGGAGCAACCAGCCTGGGGAAAGCTTGTTTGAGTAAGGATGATCTATGATTTGGGGAAATCATTACTTGGTCAGGAATTATGCCGTAAGTGGAGCTATGCTTTGACTGTTGCAGCAAAAATAGAAAGGGGCCCTTTGGCCCTTGAAGGATTAAGGGATACTGTGGTACGAGGTACAGATTATACATCCCATTTCGTCCCGTGCATGGTGTGATTTTCATTTGGTAAATCTGTACATGGTTACGGATACAATATTTAGACTAAAATATAAATATTTTTCAAATATTTCAGCCAAGTGAATTTGGCACAGAAGTTATCATTAAGATAAAATATCCTTGTGCTGCAGTTAGGCTTTATGTAATGGTTCCTGTATTTAGGGCAGCTGAGGCAACGGAGATTGACAGTAATAAACCATTTCTATTGAGGATAAAGGTCTAATTTATTTATTTAATAGTTGCCCATCTCACAGAACAAGCAACTCTGCGCAGCTTACAAGTTAATACTTAAAAACCATTTAACAATTAAAACATCAAAAACTGCAGGTAATCCTGGACTTACTACCTACCACAACTGAGTCCAAAATTTCTGTTGTTAAGCAAGACATTTGTTAAGTGAGTTTTGCTTCATTTTATGACTTTTCCTGCCAGAGTTGATAAGTGAATCACTGCACTTGTTAAATTAGCAACATAGTTGTTAAGTGAATGTGACTTCCCCATTGACTTTGCTTGTTAGAAGGTCGCAAAAGGGGATCACATGACTCCAGAACATTGTAACCGTCATAAATATGAGCCAGTTGCCAAGCATCTGAATTTTGATCACAAGGATGCTGTAATGGTCATAAGTGTGAAAAACGGTCATAAGTCACTTTTTTCCATGGTGTTGTAATGGTCACTAAATGAACTGTTGTTAAGTCAAGGACTACCTGTGTTAAAAACTGAGCTAAACTAAAAAGAAGGTGAAGATATGTTAATATAACAGACTTCCATAAGCTTGGAAGTGATGAAGCCAAACTCCACTCAGTAGAGATGAGGTTCCACCACTCTACCACTGTAGAGATCTACAGCCACCTAGGACCTACTAAAGATGGAACCTGCATCATGCCTGCTTAGCTGGATCCGGTGGGACAGGCAGATGAATCTGGGAAAATGCAGTCCTTCAAATATCTCAGTCCCATGACATGAAGTGATTTAAAAGTCAATACCAACACCTTGAATTTGACTCAGAAGCAAATTGGTAAATGCAGCTTGCAAACCAGAGATAGAGTACAGTGTGTAAAATGTTACATTGGATTTGTAGAACTGTTTAATAAATAAATCTAGAGGATCATTTACCTCAGAGATTTTATGCAGTTCACTAATGGGGATGAAGAGGAGCCTTCTAGAACTTTCCATGAGCCAAGAATGAGAAATGAGGTGGATACTGATGATCAGAGTTCTTAAACTAGAATTGGAAGAAGATAATGCAGTAGACTTTCAAATTAGGGTTTGCTGAGTGATCTAATAGTTTCAGACTGCAATCAGGATCACCTCAGGGAGTGTTGTAATCATCTCCAGACTGTGAATTCAAACCCACATATAAACCCTTGGGGAAATAAAGTACAGTAGTCATTAGGTAGGTAGAAAATGTAGTGGAAGCTAGCCAGTCTGCCTATATACTTAACAAAGCTGTAATTGATCTAAGCGATCAGCTTGGTTTTGAAAAGGGTTAGGGAAATCAAACTTCATGACTTTTGTTGAGAATAAAGACTCAACTTCAGATGGAAAAGATCTTTTTTTTTTCTTTACGGAGCAGCTGTTTCTAAATATTTTCAGACATGCCCCTGTCCCCAAGTAGCTCTGTGGATTATAAGAAAAATAATATGTATGTCTGTCTGTCTGTCTGTCTGTCTGTCTGTCTAGATGTTATCCATTCAATCATGTCCAACTTTGGTGATTTTATGGGCCAGGTCTCTCTACATCTTTTGATCTTGCACTGCTTGAGTTTCTCTATGCTCTAGCAGCTGATGTCAGCTTTGATGGTGTCCTGCCATTGTGTTCTTTGGTGGTCTGGATTCTTTTTACTGCTACCTCTTCCCAACAAAACTTGCTTTCTCCAGTGAATTCCCCTGCATGACATGGCCAAGATAAGTGAGACACAGTTTTGTCCTTCTAGTGACATATCTGGGGTAATGCGCTCCAATGCTTACTTATGGGTCACCTTTGCTGTCCAAGGAATCTGTCTGTCTATATCACATAGAAGTAAAAACAATTAAAAACATAATTTAAATTAGTAAGATAAAAGATTAAAAAAGCTGTATGGCAAGAACACATACAAGAGAGTGTGTTCAATTAACTATCCTAAAGCCATCTAGTAGGTTCTCCTCCATCAAGAGTCCCTCAAACCAGATATAGAACCATGTTTTAAGCAACTTCTGGAAGGCCAGCAGGATTGTAGCCAACCTTATTGCATTAGAGAATTCAAACATGCAAAGCTGTTCAGATTATCTATTTGAACCTTACAAAACACAGGAAGAATTGGAAAAAAGATCTGATTTTGAACTCATTAGTTTGTATGGTTGTGATCCTAAAATGGAAGTCAAAGGAGACTGTAGATATTTATATTAACTTCTGCTGAGTGATGTTTTAATGTTGTAACCAAGACCACAAATTGACTTTTTTGTTTCTTTTTGTTTAAATAAACAATTCCCCATCCCAATTATCTCTGGTGGAAAAAAAGAAGTCAAAACATATTTTTCTAAGAATTTTAAAGGTGGGACATAATCCAGGATAACAAATTCATTTTCCTAATCTCTAGCCTATGTATTAATGTTTTTAAGGAAAGGCCCTAATTCAAACCCACTATTTTTTTTCTTTTTAATACATGGTTTGGTCGTTCTCAAATTTCTTTCACATGTTGATGAGAAAAACATAAGAGACCAATTTTGGGCCTGGCTCCTTTTTTTTTCTTCTAGTTGTTTAAATAGCTTCATAAAAGGTGGCATTTTGTTCCTCAGCCTGTTTTAAATAAGTTTCTAGGAAACAGTCCAAGAGATATAGATTCTAATGAAGTATATACAAAATTGCCTTACCCAGTTTTGTGGAAATGATTTCATTTTATCTGATCTTGCAGCAACCTAGCAAGCCACAAGATTATTTTTTTTTTGCAGGGTTCAGTTAGACCTGGGGAGGGACTAGTCACTAGCCAGATCGATCCAAAAAGTTGTTAAAATGGGATGCAGTGATATTGGCTGCCCCTCAAGAGAGGATTGTGGTGGCAGTAGCAGTGCTTCCCTCCATTCAGAAATTTACAGTAATTATAAATTGGTTGTACATATGAGGGGTCCTTGATGCTCTCCAAGTTTGGTTGTTTTCTTGCAGACGTTCCAGTACCCAAACTAGCTACCATCATCAATATTAGTATTCTCCTCTAATGACAAGGTATTTGGAAGGGTAGCAGCAGCACAGCTGTGAATGATCTCAGAGACGATATTAAGGCCATTTCAGTTCAGTGTTCAGTCTTATCTTTGAGACAGACTCAGCTTTAATCCATATGATAGCAAATCTTAATTTAGAGCAGGAGATGACTGCATGTGGTATCTCAAAAAAACTATAGGTTTGGAAGGAACCATTAGAAGTCATATAGCCCAACTCACTGCTTAATGAAGGATTCACTAAATCATTTTTGACAGATGACCTCTGTTTGAAGATCTCAGTAAAGGGAAATGTATCATTTCATGTGGTAGTGTATGCCATTGACTGACAGCTAATATAACCAGGAAGTTCCTCCTGACATCAAGCTAAACTTCTTTCCTTATAGT